ATAAGAGAACACAGAATCAAGACAAATTTCATTACAGAAAACGTTGTCCTCTATGGGGGTAGATCAGGCCTCTGAAGAATGGGTCTACCTGCCCCCTCCAGAGGTCTACCCACCCCAGTCCACTCCATTGGTAGACCTGACCTCAGACCGTCGCCTTGTGCTGAGCCTTAGAAAACATACCAGCATTTTTTTTTGGGGGGGGGAGAACTCTTGCAGTCTACTTTGGGCTGTTTTTTTTAGTGAAATATGACACATTTATGGGTCAAGTATAACAGAGGTGGAACAATCACTGTTAGAACCCTGCCTAACCTAACAAACAGGAAGTTGCTTAAAAGTTATCAACCTGCCCAAACTACTTCTTTGTTCAAATATTTATATCCCACATTTCCTGTGACTCAAGGCAGCTTTTAGGTCATACTGAAAAGCGGCTCACATTTATTGGCAGCACATGCCAAATCAGCATAAAACATTTTTTAAAAAGTATACCGTAAACAATAACAGAGTGCTTGCAATATTTGAATTACAGAATTATAACTTTCTGCATGTCCCACCCTGTGATAGAGAAGTTAGTTGGCTTTTGCGCAGGCCAGAGATTTATTGTAACTCAGCAGGAGTCCTCTTATAAAACCCTTTGGAAATGGCACTTGACACAAAGTAAAGTTAAAACAAAAAGGTTAATTTTATTGAACAGGCACAGTTGGATCAGGAATAGGACAGGGGACAAGAAGTTGAGGTAACTGTTCCTGATTATACAAATCAGACAGGCAACAGAGTATCATTGAAGCGTTTAGTCTTAGAGACTCAGTTCTTCACTGTGAGAGGTTTGTTTGTCTTGGAGATTTCTTTCAGCAACAATGTGTCTTAATAAAGTTTCATAAAACTATCTTAGTTTCCTTGAAGTTAGTACTTTCTTCCTGTTTTTGAATACTTCCCTTGTGGGATTATAACTTTCCCTTTTTTACTCCTTTTTTTTTTTGTTTATTACATTTTTCATATGCATTACAACCTGCACACATGTTACATTTCTCACTATCTCTACAGAGTCATCTGCTTATAGAGTTTACATCTTGTTTTCATTCATCCATTTGTAAAACCTTCTCCATCTATTTGTAAATATATCCATATTCTTGTTTTCTAGAATTGTAGTTAGTTTGTCAATTTCAACTACCTCTTGCATTTTTATAGTTAATTCTCTACATGACGGTATCCCCTCAGCTTTCCAGTTTTTGGCAAATAATATGCGTGCTGCCGTAAGAATAAATCCTATTACATATTTTTCTTCGTTTTTCAGTTTGTCTGGCATTACATTCAACAAAAACATTTCTGGTCTACGGGGTATATCTATTTCATACATGTCTCTTAACATCTTATATACCTTCTGCCAATAATACTGAGCCTTGGGACATCTCCACCACATATGATAGAAGGTGCCCACGTTATTTTTACACTTCCAACAGTTTCTGGGTGCATTCGGGTAGCATTTAGCTATTTTATCTGGGGACCAGTGCCATCGGTGGAACATTTTAAATATATTTTCTTTATATGGGATCGCTCTTACTTGTTTTGCGGTTATCCAAATTTTGGCCCAATCTTCTATAATATAACCTAAATCCTGCATCCATATAATCATTGTACCTTTTATCTCTTCATCTAGTTCAAAGTTAGTGAGGAATAGATTATAAAGTTTTTGGATTAGTTTATCGTTTGTGGATAGCCATAGTTTATCCAGTTCATTTTTTTCATCATAAATTCCTTTTTTTTCATCCTTCTCAAAGCATGATCTCAGTTGCATGTTTTCCCACCAGGATAATTTTATTCCTTGTCTTTCGAGCACTTCTTGTGTTTTTACTTTACCAGTTTTATCTAAGAGCATTTCGTACGTCAGCAACTCTGTGTTTTTCATTAAAGAGGGCTTAATAAAGGCTTCTATAGGGGATAGCCATCTAGGAGTTTTAAGATAATATTTGTCTTTTATCTCCTTCCAAATTTTATTTAATGCCCCTCTAATAGTATGTCGATTGAACTTGCTATGTATTTTATCTTGATCATAGCCTATATAAGCATGCCATCCCATATCCAAATCAAAGCCTTCTAATGTTAACAGCCTCTTATTTTCTAGGGTAATCCATTCTTTTATCCAGGACATTGCGGCTGCGGAGTAATATAGCTTCCAATTTGGGAGGTTCATACCCCCTTTTTCTTTTCGATCTTGCAAGATCTTCCATTTTATCCGTGGAGTTTTATTGGCCCATACAAATTTTCTACATATTTTATCAAGTTCGTTAAAGATTTTTGCGTTTCTCAGGACCGGTATATTCTGTGCTAGGAACAAGAACCTCGGCAGAATATTCATTTTTAGTACTGCTATTTTCCCCATAAAGGATATTTGAAGATTTCCCCATTTTGTTAAATCATTTGTTATATCTTTTAAGAGCTTGACGTAGTTATCCTCGATTAACGTGTTATTTCTTTTGGATATTATTATTCCCAAGTATTTAACTTTGGTGACAATCTTCATTTGAGACATTTTTTCTATCTGTTCTGTTTGTTGTATTGTACAGTTTTTTGTTAAGATATTTGTCTTATTATAGTTTATTTTT